GACATAACTCCATTTATAACTACCCATGAACCTCCAAGTGACCCTGAGATGAAGCGAGTGATGCCTTCTTTTCTGCCATCGCTCTGCCGTCCCCCCCACGCGTCGTTGTGCGGTAATGACCCCAAACCAAGCCTGAAAGAAAGTGGCCTAGCCTTGCCGAATCTCAAGCTACATCTACAAACCCTACACGGCCCTAAACCTAAAACCCTGAAGCCCTAACATGCTTTCTGCTTCCAGACCTGCACCGAATGCTATCCGGTTGGGCTACACCCTTCGTGCCTTCTTGCTGCCCACCGCTGCGGCATCTGCAATCTTTGTGGAATTGACTGGGAGGGGCTGTGAATCCTTACGCCCTCCATACCTACCACCTACTGTTGATGATATAAATCCTGCATTGCCTTAATTTAAGGACCCTAAACTATGGGAATTATGGTATATTCCTTATTATGGGTAATGCAGGATTTGTCTCATCAACCGTATAGGATTTATGACACCGAATGTTAAGCGCCGTTGAAGATTGCAGTAGATTATGTAAGCTTCGGGTTCACCTCCTCGCGATCGAAACCACCCTGTGGCTCAGCTAGAACTGGAACATGTTCTGTTAGTCGGGTGTCGAGTGGAAGGTGTCGCAGTGCTCGAAACAGTAGATACTACGACGAAGCCTCCTGCCCCTGCATTGAAGACCTTTATCTCCAGAGATTTTTCGACTGCGCAGGTGAGTCTCAGCCTGGACATGAAGAGGAGCCTTCCCATGTCTCCGAAAAATCGCCGACAGGCCCCTCAGTTTGCTAGTTCGGGATGAAGGTTCGAGGGCTTTCATGTACATGGTAGAGCGGGAACTAGGAAAGTCTGGTAAAAGACATGTCACAATGAGGATAGTTCGCAGCAGCAGCTGCGGCTGCTGCTGCACTCCCACTCCCACTGCTGCTGCTGCTATCGCTGCTGCTGCTGCTGTCACACTACTGCTGCCGCTGCTACAGCTACGACGACGACGCCCACAGAACTCCTGTTCGCTCTCATGCGCCGCAAGGCCAGCAAACCGAGTATGCCGAGTGTGCCCTCGCGCAAGGAGGCCAGGGAGCCCGGGAAAATTTGAGATGAACTACCCTAAACCCTAAACCCTAAACCCTAAACTTGCTCGGATAAGAGGCTTCCGGGCTGCTGGGTTTTAGGGTTTTAGCGTTTTAGGGTTTTAGGGGTTTAGGGTTTAGGGGCTAGGGAATAAGAAGTCAGAACTCATCTGTTCTTTGCGAGCAGCAGGTGAGGACTGCGACTAAGAAGGTGAGATTCTGCAAGCCAAAAGCTCTGGAGACAAGTTCATGCACCTCACCTTCCGGTAAACCCAAAACCCGAACCCTTTACAAATCCAAAACCCCTTGAAGTTCCCACCCGCCTCTTGTTCTTTCTCTGCCGCTCTCTCTCTCTCTCTCTCTCTCTCTCTCTCGCTCTTTCTTTTTGTTTCGTGCTTTCTGTGTGTCATTCTACGTTACAACAGATTTTGGTATCCCAAACCCCAAACCCCCCAACCCAAAACCCTGAAAACGTTAAGCCCTAAAGCTAAACTGCCCAACATCCGAAATGCCCCCACACCAAGAACCCCCTAAACCCCCCTAAACCCGTAAACCCCTAAACCCTAAACCCTAAACCCCTAAACCCTAAACCCCCAGTGCATGGACAAGGCAGCAGCGCTGCTGCGGGAACACGAGGAGCATGTCAAGAGCCTGGAGCCCTTTGGACAAAGACAAAGAGGTCTTTTGGATGAGGTTGTAGAGTTTAGGGTTTAGGGTTCAGGGTTTGGGTTTTAAGGTTTAGAGTTTAGGGTTTAGGGTTTATCTAGGACATTTTCAGGTGGGTAGTTACTGTTATAGGAGCCTTACCCTATATACCCTAAACTCCCCACCTGAAAATGTCCTAGAGTTTAGGGTTTTAGGGTTTTAGGGTTTTAGGGTTTAGGGTTTAGGTTTTAAGGTTCAGGGTTTAGGGTTTAGGGCGTATTATTTGCAGGTGTAGGGTGCAGGGTTTCATCTCGGTGGGGTCTGGCGTTCAGGGTTTAGGGTTTGGGGGTCGTTTTCCGCTCGAGGGTGGTCTTAGGGCGAATTTCCGTTAGTAAGTTAGCATTGAAGCCGGTAATGTAGGGGCCTCAATAATTACCTATACTATTTTGGGGGTTCTTAATTTAACTAGAACTATAACATAGAGGAGCCCAAAACACCATTCTAATTATATCTGAAGGCCCCTATATTATCAAGTTCTCTTCGCTTGATCGAACAATCCCAAAATCCTCCTAAACAGTAAACCAAAAACCCTAAGCCTAAATTCCCAAACCCTAAACCCTAAGCCTAAATTACTAAACCCTAAACCAAGAGTTCTCGGCCCCAAGCCCGCAATCCGAGAGGCCAGACCCTAACTCCAAAGCCCCCTAGGCCGTAAACTTTGTGAGGTCCAAGTCCCAAGCCCCGCAATTTTGGAGCGCCGGTCACATGAAATCCCTGCTCGGATTACTACATGCAATGATTTGTGCATTCTGCTCCAAACCCCGTAACCTTATACACGAATCCCGAAAACACTGAACCATGAACCTACCCAGGGCGCAGATGGCCGACCAAGCCCAGGAAATTGCGATGCTCCAGGTGGAGTGAGGGGTTTCGGTTTGGGGCTTGGGCTTAAAGGGTATTTATTTGTTCGGCTTGTTTTATTGTTTTGTAGGGTATTTTGTAGTTAAGACGGGTTGAAAAGTTTGCTTTAGTTGTTGTTGAGCTTGCAGGTGGGTTTTGCTGTACTTCTGTTCAGGGTGTGCGTGCGCTTTTGGTTTTGTAAGGCCCTTCAGGGAGCTGTTCTGTAAAGATCTTGATAACATGGCTCATAGGTTTATACTTGTGTCTATACATTTACATTCATATATGGCTTTCATAGGGTTTATCACGGTTCGCAGTTGGGTTTTGCTTGTATACTTGCTTTATGATTTTTTATTGTGAAAGTAAAGGTTTAATCTTGGTCCTCGTGTTGGGTGGGTGCTTCTAAACCCTAAACCCTAAACCCTTAACCCTAAACCGCATGCCTGAGAGTGCCAGCCCACCAAACCCAGAACCCCATTTCGGCCAACTAGCACGCAAATCCACCTTAAGGTTTTTGGGCTTTGGGATTTAGGGTTTTAGGGCTTAATATAGGGGCCTTATAATAATTACCTACATTATTTTGGGGGTTCCTTACTATAATTAGAGTATAGCGGGCCCCAAAACCCTATTCTAATTATTACGGCCCCTACATTAGGGCTCGAATAGCCCGGAATGCAGGGACAAAGACTTCAAACGACCGGGGCAGTCTTCGAACTTCAGGTGTCTTCCTGAGGGGCGCGCTGATTCAGGGCATATTCCTGGATTAACAGAAGGGCATTATGATTCCAGGGTCCCCTAAACCCTAAACCCCCAAAACCCCTAAACCCTAAACCCCTAAACCCTAAACCCGAACCCCTAAACCCTAAACCCCTAAACCCCTAAACCCCTAAACCCTAAACCCTAAACCCGATATTCCTTAATTATCGTG